TCAACCGGTCTCAATCTATAAGCAAGCCTATTTGGTAACATTGATCCATGAGTAAGATCTATAGCATGTTGAATGTCTCAAGTGGTGGTAGTCCCTGAGGTAAGCTATCAGTCATGATATCTTAAAAGTAAGTTAGTAGGGTTTGTATCATCTTCGGTAACTCAGTCTCCTCCTCAGTCCCATCTAGTATAACTAAAGCCGTAGCCTTTGGGGCCTCTTGCACTGACTATAGAAATGCGGCATGTGGGACCACAGTCTCCTCTTCAATGTGAGTATCAGCTCCTCTAGACTCATTGATTGACAAAAGAACTATGTGTATACCCTCCTTTGTGAACGAGTAGTTATTCTTCAACACATCATGTTGAGTCATGCGATCAAACTTCCATAGTCTCCTTAACAGAATTAGACAGGCATCTATGGGCGCATAATATCACACCACATATGTTCATGCAGTTGGTCCCGAATGGAGGATTCCACCAAACATCATTGATCCATCCATATCTCATGCTCTTTCTTTAACCATATCAAAGAATAGGGTTGAGAATGCTCATGAGTAGCCAAGTCAAGCTTCTTCGCCATAATGTAGAGACCATATTTTCACAATTTCTTATTAATAATAATGCTGTGTATCTTCCCTTTCACAGTACACATGGTGCGAAAGATGTTATATTTCAACCAAGGGTGACCCTCTTTGGTTTAGTCTGCAAAGCCCTCATCGCAACTAATATCTCATCCTCATCCCCATGAAGTTGATACCCCTCACCCCTTGCTCTTCTTCTATCTCTTCACTTCCTCCACCGCACCCTACTCGATGAAGGAAACAATTCTGCTAGTATGGCAATCAAAGGTGATGTGTCCATATTCATGGCATCTGAAGTATTTTCTTGTTGGAATTGTGTTGGTGTGCTATACTTTTTAGACTTCTTCCCACTTTGATCAGCCCTGTCATTCCTTTGATTAGTCTTCTGTGTTGGGTTTTGAAAGAGTTTTTTTTGAACTAATATTGAACAAAAGAATCTTTCTTAATCGCGCTATTTGGTTAGTCGTCCGGAATATTGAATCACATTAAAGAACGACGCGGAACACTTTGATAATGGTGGGGAGAAAAAGAAGATGTCGTTTCAGGATCTCCACTAGCTAGAAATGAGATTCATATGAGAAACAACATAAGTAAACGAGCTTCTGCTTGAGCTTCCAAAGAGAAAGGTACGTGAAAAACCATTTTATCCCCATCAAAGCTTGCATTGAAGCCCATACAAACTAATGAATGTAAACTAATAGCACGCTCCAGTTTGGAACGCTTGTATGCCTAATCTATGCAGGGTGGGTGCTCTATTCAACAAGAAAAGAAGCACCTGCATAACTTCTTTCAGTCTTTTCTGGTTCTTTTTTCCGAACCCTAATTTTGCTTTTAGCAATCCGTGTGTTAGAAGCAACATGTTGTCTTATTAGATCACGAATTACAAATTTTTGGAAGAGCTCTATTTCTCTTTCTCAAGGTAATCTACATCGATTTATTGAAAGCAAAGGACCCACGGCAATGACGAAATGCCTCAATAATCGACTGACCCGTTTACCAAGTAGAGTCTCACGAAATCTTTCTTCTTTGCTTTCAATTACATCGAAAAAGGCTGGGTGGTTGTCTGAATGGAGGCGGGTGCCTTCTTTGTCTCTATTGTCCCTCTACCTTCAGCCTCAAGGTCTGACCATTGTCGAAGGACCAATAAGGCTGCAGCTGAACAACATTGTTGATGGTTGGCTTCAAGCTTCTCAAATATCTATTTATAGTTTGCTCCTATAGCTTTGTCAGCTCATATTTTAGCATGAACTGCTCAAATTATGTTGTGAATTTCCCTGTCGTAGGTGGCGGAGCTCAAGAAAATGCCCTAGTGATAGTGCAGGGGTAATTATTTTTTGTGCATCTCCTTCTCCATCTTCTCCCATATGGAGAGATCTTGTTCCTAACTTCTCTTTGCCTCACCCTTATCAAATTCTCCAACTACAGAGAGTCGCACTTCTTCAAGTTCATGTCAGCAGTTTCACTCTGCTATCATTTAACACTTCCTTATACTAAAAAATCCTGTCAACCGTCTAGAACCACTCAATAAATTTTTCCAGATTTATTCTCCACTTGAAATCTGATAAGTCTATCGTTACTCTCTTATCTAATCGTCCTCTAAAAGATGCTCCATCTCTCAGCATCCTCTGGTATTGGAGACCAAAGCACTGTGGCTTGTCCTCCACCGGAATCATTCGTATGAAAAGAATTCATTTTATTCCCCATCTCCTCTTTGAGCATTACTATCACGATCAATAGTGATATCACCATTGGTCCCTTCTTCAAATTCAACAAGCCTTTGTCCCATGCTCAAATTCAACAAGCCTTTGTTGAAGTTAAGTGGATTTCCTGTTGTATTTTCTCCATGGTAAGATCTCTATCGGTATCTAATACTTGTCTCCTTGGTGCATGGTTAGGGTTTAGGCTAGAGGTGGAAAAAAGTGTATATGGGTGGTTTAGGATTGGGGAAAATATTAGGGTGACTGATTTGAAAAATCTGCAAGAAGACGGATTTTGGGTGGATTTGGGTTAAGTATTGGTGGATTTTGTAACCCTCGGAGTTAGAGTTAAGCTAGCTCTGAAACCAAATAATATCGGAATCAATATGGAAATAATGTGAGAAACGCAATACAACCTCTAGTAATTTTATAGAAGTAAAAAATTGAAAATACAACAAACTCGAAAGCAAAAATAACAATGGGAAATACTAGGAAATAGGATGTAGGTGGTGTCAATTAAGGTTTGAACCTCCGAGGTGGTGGCAAGGAGGCGGCTAACAAGCTGAAAACAACTACATAGTTGTTTGCAATAGTCCGGACAGCAAGCAAGTAGCAGGAACAGCTGTGGGAGGGCTGTCCGAAGCAGCAGCAGCAAGGACGTGGGCCAGAATTGCCACGGGGCTGGCAGTTTAGGGTGGCGAAAGCAAGGTCGTAGGATGGCTGTTCTAGGTGGCGACATCAAGGTAACAATGAAGGGAATGTGGGAGTGATGCGGGAAAGGTTGGGGGAAAGATATAGTAAGGATAAACGCTGCTTGAAGACTAAGATACAGTCGCCTGTAGAGGAAAAATAAGATGTCGATGGTTGTCCCAAAGAAATTCAATGAAAATTTAAACCCTAAACATCAACAAAAATAAATATATATTCTTAGATAACTATGAGTAGGCCCTTTTTAAGAAAATGTGGCACTCCCAAGACTAGAGGATCGGTCGGCCCTTAATAACCCTAGACCAGTCGGTCCAGGTAAAAGATATTGAGTTTGAGGATGTGGTGCCAAAACTATCTTTTTGCAGCATTAATAGGAGCTTCTACATGACTGACATCAGTTGTTTAAGAGGGCTAATGAGTTTTAGGAACTGATGTCAGACATGTGAAAAGCCCAACTTAAAGAATTTTAGGATTTTTAGACATACAATCTACCTATTAAGTTGTCACTGCTAACGAAAATTCAATATGTCAGAGAAGAGAAGGTTTTGAGATGTTTTTGGAAGGTTATATTAGGTAATTTGGGTGTTAGCTCAATTTCGTAATGCCTCTGTGGACTAATGATCAGATTGGAGTGGAGGATTGTAGTTTTGAAAATCTCCTTAAGTGTTTTATGGGTAAGAACATTTGATAGTGGGATCCAAGCTTTTTTGGAGATGAAGAAGCCCCTCTTAGCTTGGGAGAATGATGCGAGAGTTCCCTCTTTTTGCCGAATTCTAATGAATAGGCAGGATCTGCAATCCCATCAATTTCCCGATCAACGGAACTGTGAATTCCCGCGATTTCAAGAAATTTGTTGCCCATAACGCTATTTCTCCTGTTTCAGCCCAATTTCTTTTTTTTTTCTATTTCTTTCCCATCTCACTATTTCTAATTAGTTTAATTTATGTGGGAACTATTTATATCCCTTTATTTTTTGGTTTAAGGGATTTTTTTCAATTGTTATTGTATTTGAGGTGTTAGTTCTCTGATTTATTCTCTTTGGAGTGTTGTATCATTTTCTTTTACAGGTGGTGTGTTTGTATCTTGCTCAGGAATAGGTAGTAGAACCTCGCTTTCAGTCAGGAGCCGTCGAACAACGCTTATCCCTTCCAAACGTCATTGACCTCGCATATATTTGTTCCCTTGCTATTCCACAATCACTTTCCCACTAAGTCACCTTCTCGGAGCCCTTGAACGGTATCACCTTCATTAAATAATTAGGATAAGGATAATGATGATGATTATTCGTGCAAAATGCATGGGTACATGTGCAGCCACGATTACTGCTTTTAAATTAGACTTTGATAAGTCCAATTGTCATCATCCCAGTTTTCACCACAAAATAAAGGCTTGATATTTACAAGAAGGCTAGTGATGATGAGGATAGTTGCCCCCACAGTCCTATGTATTGTGTCGTAGCAATTTAAGATCAATCTGAACACTTCACCTGAGTTGATATTGAGTTAGTGTTGATTTATAACTAAATTTGATTAGTATTTGACTCAATCTAATCTTGATATAAGTTAGAACTGTATTTTTTGATAGTTCAAAGATCAATTTATACCAAAATCAATGCAAATTTCTGTCTATTTTCCATCACGAGTCATTCTTAGCCCCATTAGAATAATTACTTTCTCACATGTTGCAAGTATATCCTATATTCATGAATAAAATGAATGTATATATACCCAACCAGATGCTTACATTGATACTGAGGTAAATGCATATAAATATTTATAATATGATATTATTTTAGTTGATTCAATCTCTGTTCAGCACGGTTTGAGCCACGCTAGGCTGGTCACATGGCTCTAAACTTGATTCGAGCAAGAAAATTATTATTTGAGGGAAATTTGCAGCCTCAATGATCTTTTTTTTTTTATATGCAATTTGCCTTCTGCAGGATAATGTTGCTTTGTTTTCACACATGCTAATATGTTTCAAAAAAGAATCATGCCTTTTCTTGTTTGTTGTAGGAATATACTCAAGATGGTATTGATTGGAGCAAAGTTGATTTCAATGACAACACTGAATGCCTGAAACTTTTTGAGAAGGTATGTTGTTTGCTACCCTTAATAAAAAGAAAAAAGTGTCAAAATAGTTTCCTGACAATCTATAGTGCGTTATTTTAATCTCGGAGTGTAAAAGTGCTAATTTAGTCCGTATGTTCTTTTAATATTGGCTGAAATTGTCCACAGAGAGAACTATTTTGGCCTCAACTAAAAGATTTTGTGACTAAATGAATCCTTACAAAGAGTCACGAGATCATTTTGACATTTTTCTGAAAAAAAAATGTAGAAATGAACTCGGCTAATTTCTCCTGATAGAGATCGACGTATTGCTAGTTTTTATTTATTTTTATTAGTTCATGCTGAATGATTGTCATTTTTATTGGTCAACTTATGAAGCTTGAAAAGTTGGGTATCCCATGTTAGTGCAGCATCATCGTAATCTTGTATTTTACCACTACATTCTGCTCTATAATGTTGTTGGTTTTATATCTATATGGCATAAGGCATAAGTTGCACAAGGAACTACGTCATCATATGCATGTTAGCTTCCAAGACATTTTTTGTTTTGCGCTAGTTTTAGTTGGCCATTTGTTTTATAGTCATCTTTAAATTATTTGACAAACATATGTAATATGTTCATGTGGAAAGTGGAAACACTATATATTTTAATTTTTTTATGATTAACAGTTTATGCTTCAAATGAACCACTAATGAAAGTAAATTAAAATTATACAATTAAATTTACTTTAGTTCAAATTGTTCACGTTTTCTGTAGACATTTCTTCTTCTAGTGCTCATCTTTTAATCAAATGATTAAACCTAAAATGTTAGTTTAAAATAACAACAGACTAATCATAGCTAGTGAATATTTAGACTTCTAACCTACTGTAATACAATGAAAATAGAATAACATGCATGTCAGTTAAAATTTTAATAAATAAGTATAAGAGCATTTGAAAATTTGTATTTATGAATTTGATCGATCAAAATATTTCAAAACCTTTATTGTGTCATATTATATCATTTTCACATCTATATCATTTGATATACTACCGTCACATGAACACCGTTTAAAATTTGTATTGAAATGTACATCAATAGCAATAATATTTTTTTATTTACGCGCACTGGTACTTTAGTCTTCCCCCGTTAATACCATAAATGGGGTGAATTCCATCATAGTCAATGATGCACATGCAATCATACTATGACAAATTTTATTTAATAATATTTATTTCATTCTCATTTGCACAACATTTGATATATTTATATAAGAATCAATATATATGATAATTTAAATAATGTCGAGTATATATTTCATTTCTATAATATGAATAAAAATTCAATAGAACTAATAAATCATGATTATTTAGTAATATCAATATAACTACAATAATACTAAATACATTTGGTCTAAAAGAAACAAAAATATTACCATAGCATAAGAAAATTAGTATTCACCTCAATGTTCTCAATATTTTACCCTTAAGTTGAATTTCTTTTCTTGAAATACCTAATATAAGAAAGTATTCGTGTTAATAAATTTAATTATGGTTGAATAATATATATCTATTCTTAACTTAATTTGTTATTGTAACTTAACATATTGTCTTAGTTTAATTATTAACCTTATAGTTTCTACATCTTTATTTAGTTTACACCCTATTTCATTTTATTTCTTAATTCATAATTGAACTTTCCTAATTATATTCTTAACCTTTAATTAAATTATTATTATTTTATATAATAATGCTTTCTTTCAATTATCTTCAATGTGTATTTTATTTAAATTTTCAAATTCATTACTTCAGATTTTTCACATAAATATCATTATAAATCTTTGACAGAAATAAACTTTGCATTTTATATTTCTGGCACCCCCACCCAAATCATTCATATCACATAAAAAATACCACCATTTTAATTTTTAAAAAGTGAAATACACATTTTCATGCAAAGGTAAGGTGATATGTGTTTATATGCATATCCAGAACTGTAGGTTCGCTAATACATTTAACGGGGAGAAATTATTCACCTTAATTATCCATTAATTTGTTCTTATTTTTTTCCTTTTTGCCATGATGATTTAAATTTCCCTCTACTAAATAAGGTTTAGTCTAAGTTATATATATTTTTGTTATTTGCTTAAGGAGAACATAAGAGAGTTTTTCTTCTAAATTCTACATGATATGAGAGATAGGGGAAAACCCTAGATCTCTTTTCAGCCACCGAAATCCTTGCTGCAGTCCACAAGCCCTCCTTGACACCCTGCTCCCTCACCCTACTTGGTCACGACCAGCCAGGCTACTCAGACTTCTGCTGCCTCCTGCAAGCTTTCTTGAAATATTGCATTTTGCATTAAAATATCAAAAAAGTACAAAAACTATGCATGTATGCATATATGGTGTACAGAAAAGAGACATGTCATCTATAAGTATAGAGGAGAGTTCTCTATCATCATCTACATGCATAAAAAAGAAAAAAACCAAGGGCACGCTTAGCACAAAAATGAGCGGCGCGATTAAATTCTCTATTGGTGTGTACAAAATTACTTTCTTGAAATTTAGAAGAACAGAAAAATCAGGAGCAAGGAGTGGTTGAAGTAGCCAGGTGTCTCTCTTTATAGAAGAACTCATGAGGGGCATAATGTTGTTATTATCACCCTCCATAATGAAGCCTTTAAGCTCAAACATTCAAGGTTGGCAAATGGTTGAAAGAAGGCGGATTGCAAGAAGCTCTACTTGAGAGTTGTCTTAATGAATAAAATGTTGTCCCGTAGCATAAAGTCCGAAGCCGCATTCGTCCCGAAGGATAGCACCGGTGCCCGCATCCCCATAAGATAAAAGAGCTCCATCAATATTCTTTTTTAACCACCCAGAAGGTAATGCTTAGGCTTTCATCGCTTTGTTTCTGGAAGCGCTCGTGATTCCCATTGTTTTCATGTAGAGCAATCCACAGAGACACAACTTTTTTCGCTTCGTTTCCCACAAGCGGTGACTCCTGCTATTTTAACTTGAGCAGTCTACAGAGATAGGGAATCCTGTGATTTTTCTCTCCTCACATATTCTTGTTTTTCTTGGTTATGTTGTCGAGACTTTATCTTTTTAGCGGAAATTAATTCCACTCGGTTAGGTCTGAACTCTCTTTCTCCCCAACAGAAATCTTGGGCCGACAATAGAAAATCTCCAGTGAAAATTCTGTGTCGGCGACAGACAATTTCTCTCTCCAGTAAAATTCTTATGTCTGCGGCGGACAATTTCTTTTTCTAGTAGAAATCTTGAGTTGACGACAGACAGTTTCTCTCTCCAGCGAAAATCCCGATGATGATCAAATACAGTATGAAATGTTTTTCTTTTTCTTTAGAAGTTGTTTGAACTCAAACCTAGGATGTTTGGTTCTGCAACATCTGAAGTTTATTCTTGCATCAATAATTGCAAACTACATGGCAACAATTTTCCTTAATGATCTCAATTTGTGCTCATATATATTTGTGGTAAAAGTAAAGATGATCATCTCTCGGTGGAAAAAATCCTACACCATAAGTTATTGATTGTAAACATCGGACATGAAAGATTAAAGATCACGTGGTCATGTCATGTCTAGTCAACTCTATGAACACGAAATTGGACAAAACATCGTCCAGTACAGAACAACAAAAAAAATTGTGATGCCGCAAGAGAAACATATTCAGGTGTTGGCAACTTCTCTGAATTGTTTGACATTGAAAATAGATTACATGAACTGCGATAGAATGAGTTCAATGTTACTCAATATTTCAATACTCTCTCCAAATATTGGCTCAGACAAGATTGTTTGAAACATACTCATGGAGGTGTTTACAAATTTTTGCTCTTTAGAAAACCGTTATTGAACAAAAGAGAATCAACAAGGAACTAGATGAAGTCAGAGGAAGAATCATGAAAACCAAACCTTTCCCTCCATTTGTGATGCTTTTGGTGATGTACGAAAGAAAGAGGGCAGGTAGAAACTCATAATGGGAGGTAATACCATTACATCAAATATTTAGAAATCAATTTTATACACTCCCAAATCATCACAAGACAACAAATCAAGGAGGAATAGATCGTAATGTGAACATTACAAACTGTTTAGTCATCTGAAAGTGAAGCGTTGGAAAATTTATGAATAACCTACAAATTGGATGCCCAAAAAAATCAATTGTGATGGGAAAAATCAGACAAACACAACATCAAAGTAAGCAAGCTTCATCAACATAGTCCATTCAGCAAGGAACAACTTAAAGCTCCCTAAAGGCTTGTAGGACAATATTATGAGTTTCTACTAGCATTTTAACACCTCGAGGTTGTCTTCCATCCGCTCTTGTTGTTATCAACAGAAAGAATCAACATTGGGTAGTGGACTTGGGAGCATCTAATCATATGACAGGTGATATCACTTTTTTTTTAATCATTTCATTCTTGCAGACACCATACTGCGGTTAGAATTGCAGATGGCTCCCTCTCATCTGTGGAAGGAAGAGAAAGTGTGAAACTCACAAATGATTTTATTATTTAATATGTGCTTTATGTTTCTAAACTTCAGTGTAATTTACTATCAGTAAACTCACTCGTAACATGTACTGTGTTATTAAATTTTATCTAAATTTATGTGAATTTCAGATGATGGATTCAGCGAAGGTGGTTGGCAATGCTAATCTATATCGTGGATTTTATCTGCTCACTCAGACTCCCACTTCAAAAAGATCATCCCATCATCCACAATCTGTTGAGTCAAGTCTTGTATCCGAGCCTGTTTCCATGAGAGTCTTAGTTATTTTATGGCATTTTTGCCTTGGGTATCTTAACTTTTATCATATTGAAAAATTATATCATCATTTATTTATCAATAAAAAACCTAGTTCTTTTCAATGTGAAACTTGACAACTTGCTAAACATACTCGACAAGTGTGCCCAAGCTTGAAATACAAATCAACACATTCATTATCCATATTCGGGGCCCTCGAAAATAAAAAAAAGATACAAATAGGGCTAGGTGGTTTGTCGCCTTCATTGATGACCATATTATAACCACTTGGGCCTTTCTCATGAGGAAAAATCCGAAACTGTTAGCATATTTGAAATCTTCTACAACAAGATTCTCTCTCAATTTCAGACCAAACTCCAATTCTCAAAACCGATAATAATACAAAAGATTACTATAACTTCACTCTCACTCCTTATTTATGTAAGCTCTTATGTTGAAACACCTCAATAAAATGGTATGACTGAGAGAGAACATACATCTCCTCGATGTGGGTCAGCCAACTCTATTCACTAACAATATACTCAAATATTTATGAGAGGATGCAATTCTCACATCCGCCTATCTCATAATTATGATGTCGAACAGAGTGCTAAACTTTAACAAACTTCTCATTACTTTCATAAAATCCTACCCGCATATTCAGTCTTCACCTCTAACATACTATTATAAATTTTTTATTGCATCGCTTTTGTTCATCAACATCAAACTAATCACCCAGATCAATCCAATGCATCTTTGTGGGTCACTCTTCAAACAAAAGGAGTACAAATGTTACTTTCTAGAAACACAAAAATTTTCAACTCCATGGATGACACCTTCTTTTGAAAACCAATCATATTATCCGAAATCTAGCATTCAGGAGGAGAATTGGAGAGAATATTAGATCCGGGATATCATTCGGGAACCTCAAGCTCACCTCCTTTATCTCTCTTATGAATCTACTATTGTCCCTCTTATTATAAGTCAACATGAAAATGAACTTATTACTTCACTAAATCCTCTCACAGCTCCTATCAAGAACTAAGAACTCAATGTGCACTAGAACAAAATCAGTGAGCATGTAAGGGGAAATATGTAAAATCAGGAATGTAAATCATTAGAATCGACTCCATACATCGCATGCATTAACACAGAGGTTGGGTCAACACATCATAAATACCAAAAGGAAGGAGCATAAAAATGCACAAAATACCCGATAGAAGGATTTATGACCTGATCCTCTTACAAATTTTTTGTTCACAATTAGGATAATGTGCAGGTCCCAATTTCAATTCAAGAAGCTGTACTTATTCCTGTTTGGAAAATGCTATTGCCCTTGAAAAGAATGGTTCCTTGATATAATAACTCTGCCATCTGAAAAAGTATTGTGGGGTGCAAATGAGTATTCACTATTTAGTACAAAGCAGATGGAAGCATAGAAAAGTTCAAGGCTAGACTTGTTGCAAAATGTTTTACTCAGTTTTATGGGATCGACTACTAGGAGATATTTGCACTAGTGGCAAACTAAACTCGATAAGTGCATTATTGCCATTGGTTGTTAACCAAGATTGGTTGTTATAGTAGCTAGACATTAAAAATATATTTCTTAATGGAGATCTTGAAGAAGTGTATATAGAGATATCTCCATGATTAAAGAACAACACAAATAATCTGTTGATATGCAAATTAAATAAATCATTGTATGGGTTGAAATAATTTCCTAGAGCATGGTCTAAAATGTTCACCAAGACTATTCTTGTCAATGGATATCATTAGTGTCAGGCCAATCACACTTTATTTGTGAAATCAAATCAAGAATATATGAGAGCCATCTTTATTGTATGTGGATGACATTACTCATATAGACAATGACATAAGGGAATTTGAAACAATAAAAAAAAAAGATTAATGGTCTCTGAGTTTGAAATCAAAGATATTGGAACTTTATGATACTCCCTGCGAATGGAAGTAGCGAGATCCAGAGAAGGCATTATCATTTCCGAGAGAAAATATATCATTGACTTATTAAATGAGATCGGAATGTTGGAATGCAAACCAATAAATACTCCTATAGATCTCAATCGGGGAGTATCAAAAAGAGAGGATAACACCTCAGCTGAAAAATGGAGGTATCAAAAACTTGTGGGGAAGATTATTTATCTGTCCTATACAAGACTTGGCATTACTTTTTTTTTGTGATTGTAGTGAGCCAACAGATGAACGATCCAAATGAAGATCATTTAGATGCGACATTTTCTTTGAATTGTGAGGTACCTAAAGATAACTCCAGGACGTCGATTAATGTTTAGGACGATTGGGAACAGTGAAATTGAAATCTACACTGATGCTAGCTTTGCTATAGAATTGACTGATATAATATTTAACCCGATTTACTACTCATTTGTATGGGGCCATCTTGTTACTCAGATAAGTAAAAAGTAAGTTGTGGTGCCAGAAGCAGTGCATAATTTGAGTATCATGCCTTGAACCTAGAAATTTGTGAAGGGGTGTGGCTAAAGAAACTATTGGTGGAACTTCGCATGGAGAATCAAAGCACTAAGATGTTCAGTGATAGTTAATCAATCATTAGTAGTTCAAAGAATCTAGCACATCATGGTCGAACCTAACATATAGAGATTGACAGACACTTCATCTCTGATAAGGTCAACGAAGAGGTTGTTCAAATATCACAACTTAGTATTAGATTGCTGACATTTTTACCGAAGCTCTTCCTCAGCACCACACTTTAGTGATCTCGTCAACAAGGTTGGGATGTATGGTTTATGCAATCCAATGTGAGGGAGAGTGTTGATATGCATAACCGATTTAGGAAATTGTGGGTCCGCTATTACATTTGAGGGTTATAAATTAATCTCTTAATTATCCATTATTGTGTTTTTATTTCTTTCATTTTTATCATGATGATTTGAATTTCCCTCAAACTGTATGAGGGTTAGTCTAAGTTGTATATATATTTGTTATTGGCTTAACGAGAAGATAAGAGAATTTTTTCTCTAAATTCTACAATACGCATGTAAAACTTGAAGTCTAAGTGTTAGATATGTAAATTCATTAGAATTGAGTGCCCAAGTGGAATGTATGTAAATCTTCCAATAGTAAATCCATAAGAAGCTTACTGGTTAGACTTGTGCCTTGGTCAGTTTTTTGTTTCTTTCTTGACAGTGGATTTTGCTGTTTTTGCAAACAGAAACCTCTGGGATTATTCTCTTTGTTGGATGAAGAGTCGAGCTTCGCTGAAACAACTGATGGAACTCTGGCAATCAAGTTTTGGAAAAATTTGAGCAGGAATCCATGTTTTAAGGTGGAGAGAGATGGCGCTTTTAAAATTCTCCATCATGCTGGCGAGGTTGGCTACACTGCTATTTATTTTGAGTTTTATTGATAGTATTATTCTTATTTTGTTTTGATACAGCTATTATTCTTTCGGAATATCTTGAAAGTCATATTTTTAATTAAATTTAAAAAGCATCTTTAAATCTTTTTTGTTTTCCTAGGAATGGAATATTTTTTATTTTTCTGATGCACTGTTATTTAATTTAATGCGACACGTCAGGTTTTAGCATCAATTCTGCTTCTTAATGGATTTTTTTCTTGACCGAGTTTGCTTGCTTAAAAACTGCCTATTTGTTACCACTTTTAATAATTTATAATGTATGGAGCAGATCCTTGAGGAGATCAAGGAAAACCTCTTTCCTACATTAAAATTTAGCCATTGGGAGGGAACCGCGGTTTTAGTTTTTTTAAACAAAAGGGAGAAAGCATTCAACAAAATTAAGTTGAGTGCTCGTTATTATCATTAGTCTTATTACAACTATTTGGGGTTCGTTTTATGAATTCTCATTTTTCTTTTTCATTTTCTTTTCTTGCTAAGTGTTGCGGGAGGTGTTAATCCTATTCTTTCAAAGTCACCCATATCATATTACCATAATTCTATCCTTCTTTTTGTCTTTTTACTTCTTTGACATTAATTTTATTCATTCACCTAATAAAGAGGAATAGTGCTTATCCTTCGTTAATTTATCCTTTCCATTTTTTTGTTACATATCCATCTTTAAATATGCATTTTTGTGATGCACCAGTCAATTCACTTTGCACACACTATGAATCAATATTTTAGACGTACTTTTAAATATGTATGAACTAGCTTGTGTGCTCCGAAATTCTTGTATGGCTTTTTAAATTAAAATTTTAGAAAAAAAATTATATAGAAAGCATATTATTACTGATGCAGATGTTCGTTAGGCGCGGGATCGTGCCTGGCGCTATGGACTGATTCGATCCAAACACAAGGATGGCTCGCCGGAATGTTGCTCAATAGGGTGAGGCCACTCCTAGTTAACCTAGGTTTATATATGTTGCTTTTGTTGTGTTTTAGGTTAGTTTTTGTGTGTGTTTGTTTGGGACAATTGTCAGTCTCTCTACCTTTCTTGGACTGTATCCAAGAGTCCTATTGGTGCTTTGGTTGTATCTCATTCCCGAGGTGGTGATTATCATTTCCTTTACCCTTCCTCTTCCTTCTCGCATCCCTCCACTCCTATCTCTCTTGCTACCGTCGCGCAGAACAAGCTCTGCTGCTTTCCTCACTGTCCAGCCACCTACTTCGCTGCAATCACCCAGGACAACTATTTGTTTGCTTTACGGCAGTCCACCACATCTCCCTTCACTTCTGCCATTATTCGTCCTCGTTGTTGCCATCTAGGACAACAATTCTCTGTTGTTTTTCTTCTATCTGCTACCTTCCAATCCCCCTCCTTGACCACCACCACCACCCCTTGATCCAACCCTAGTTCGAGTTTGTGTTGTTGTGTTGCTATTTTAGATTTAATTATATTTCGTTGTAATTTTGTATTTGAATTCACAATATTATTTGTTTGACTTCGGTGTTTGTTTAAACTCTAATATCATTTGGTATAGAACTAGCCTAAACCAAGCCCTGTCATAGGCTTACCAAAATCAGCCTAATTTTTTTTTTCCTTTTTTTTTCCCAATCTAAACCACCTACTCACTCTTTCACCCCTCCAAAGCTAAGTCATGACTATGCCGCCGAGGAGACAAGGACTGGAAGCCTCATGAAGTTACTATGGAAGAGGTGTAGTGGGAAATCCACCGACTTCAACAAAGGCTTGCAGATATTGTAGAACATACCTAAGGAGAAGTCGTCGTTGACCGTGATAGCGAGATACAAGGAGAGAGAAACATTTGAATCTAATCCATAAGGATGATTTTAGTGGAGATGAGGATAGACTATGACGCTTCAGGGTTTTGTATCAGAGGAGGCCGAGGGATAAAATGACTTTTGGAGGACAAAGAGACTTGGGAGTGAAGGTTGTCCAACCGGATTTCGAGGGGAGAATGAATTCAGATGACTTCATTGAGTGGTTGCATAATGCGAGCGAGTTTTTGAATATAAGGAGGTACCAGTTGATAGGAGAATGAACCTTGCTGCCATCAAGTCGAAGAAGAGTGACTCTTTATTGTGGTAGAATTTGAAGAGAGAGAAAGAGAGAGAATGTCAGAACAAAATCACTAATTTGGAGAAGATGAAGAAGGAGATGCAAGAGAAGTACCTATCCCAACACTACCGCCAGTACATATTCTTTAAGCTCAACGACCTAAAATAGAGGGAATTGTTAATGGAGTTCACAACATAATTTGAGCAGCTTATGCTGAACTGTGAGCTGACAAAGCTAGAAGAGCATACTATAGCCAGATACTTGGGAGGCCTGAAACAATTCACCAACAATATTATCCAGCTACAGTCTTATTGGTTGGGTGATATTAAGATCTTGGCATTGAAGGTGGGGAGACAACAGAAGAGGAGTAGACACCACCTCTATTTAGACAACCACTCACAACTGGAGGCATCAACAGGAGGACGCTTGGGGGAGTTATGAAAACTAGTCAAGGGAATGAAAAAGCTGATCAAAGTGGGAAGAAGCCTGAGAAGTGTAGCATGCCCAACCCACTTCCAGTTAGGAAATACATCAGATGCCATGGATATGAACACATCGCCTCCAGTTGCTCGACTAGCTGAGTTGTTTTCTTCACGCGCAGGTTGCAATGGAGGAAGTGAGTGAGGAGGCAGCTGAGCTGGGTGAGGAGTATCGGCTCCAAGAGAATGAGGGTGAGATGATTGTTATGAGAAGGCTTTGCAGACAGAATCGAAGAAGGATTACTCTTGGTTGAGACATCATCTTTCGCACTAGTTGTACCATGAGAGAGAAGGTATATAGCCTTATTATTGACGGAGGGTGTTGTAGAAATGTCGGTCGTTATTTTTAATTTTTTAGTTTTGAGAAAGAGAATTTTGTAGATATGAAATAATTTTAATATAAATATGAGTTTTGAAAGTAACATTTTAATTTTAAAAATAGATGAGATTAAACGAGTCTCACATTTTGGATAATTTGGATGATTAAGCATGATACCACAAGTAATACACTTATCTCGAAGAATAAACATATCACTTATAGTAGACTCAATCACCTAAACTAAAGAATTTGTGACATCTGTTTGGTCTACGAAATATTTTTATATGAGGCCAATAAGTTCCCCTACCTAATATGAAGATTAGATAGGGTTTATTTTACATGAATTCCAAGTTTTCTGTAGAGGCAAACCCATATAGTTAATTACATCTTAAATGACCAGGATCACTTAAGAAGACTGGATCACTAATGACCAGGATCACTTAAGAAGACTCTCGATTAAGATCAATGGTTTTAATTTCCAGATTTCAAAGTTTAGGCTTTCAAGATTGGACATGGGAAAATCAAATGAGAGTGACTCAAATAGGAGCAATTATTTTTAAGGAATCCAAAGGAATGAAGAGTAGGAGATATCACAGATTCATGGGAAACCCTGGTGATTTCCCAACTATCCTATTGTCCGGCTTTATGTTTTTGAAATAATGTTATTCAATGTTTAATCTTGCAATTTATTTTTAAAATTTAGGACTTACATTCGCACGATATATGATCGTATGATCGTAGCCTAAAAAGATAGGAGGTTTTAAACCGTACCGTACAGTAACCTCAGAATCCTAAAGTGTTAGGACTTATAATTGCACAACAGGGTTGTGCAAAAGCCAAAAGGTGAAATGTGAGGGTTTACGCTGCGCTAGACAAACCACTTCAAAATTCTATGAGTTGTTATTTAAATTAAGAAAAATGATTAGTGATGTGAATTTGTTTTGGTGTTGCAGATTCTTCTCGAAGTTGTTCTTTTTATGTGTCCTCGCTGTGTTGTCCACAGTGTTCGCTCCAAGCTCCCCGTCGTAGCACCTCCGGGTTTGATATTTATTGTTGAGTTTTTCCTACACTAAGGTATAGTGTGTAACAGAACAATAAAACATGTAGTATAACAAGAAAAGAACAGTAGAGTGTACGTCATAGAAGAGAAAGAACAGTACAGTATGCTGTGAAGTAAAATGTGAAGTAAAATGCTGTAATGTAAATTAAACATATATATCTGGGAGGTTTGCTACTCCTTTAAGCGAACTAGTATGCACTGTATAAACAAAAGAAACATTGTCTGGAAAACTTGAGAAAATCGACAAATGACCCACGATGGGAAATTCGGTAAAAAAATTTGACAAATTACAATTCCAAGAAAATTATCAAAATCTCGGGAATATCCCGGAAAAAGGACCACGAGTGCTTTGCCCAAAAATTCCAATAAAACATTTGCCCAAACCACGAGTGCTTTGCCCAAAAATTCCAATAAAACATACGAAAAATCCGAAAAGATGGGACCGCAAACACTCGGGTCGGGGCTATACTCAAATATAATATATTTGTACTCGAGGGACGTCGAAGGCTACTATCGGTCACCCGGATGTATAAAGTCTGTCACTCAACTAGAAGAGTGTCCTACTAAACCTAACTTAGGAGGGTACTCCTTAGCTTGGTATCGATAATCAACAAGTGGACAACCAAATTGTAACACATTTAAAATTTATATTTTACCATGCACATGAATTTCAGGCATACAAAAAGGAAGTTATATCAATTTTGTAGTGAAGATATTTTTATAAATATTGTATATGTTCTTATCATGTCTGTTCTTATCAATTTTGAAAAAAATATATTTGTTCACTAGTCGTTTACGTCGTCAGGCGTAGGACCGCCAATCAACCTAAGAAGGTACGGGTCCCCCGCTAGTCTTGAGTCGATGAATGATACTGTCATCCTATAGTTTATCAGATCCGAGGATTGGGTCCTGATATTGTAGGATGGAATATCATTCTGCCCTACCTCTGGCGTGCCTTTGTCATCTCGCCCTAAGCCCCAAAACAAAACCGACTTACTTGCGACCTTGCTTGATAGTTTCATATATAGCAAAATG